CGCCGGCTGCAGGAGCAGCGGGAGCGCCTGCACGGAGCCCTTGCTCTCATAGAGCTCGCCAACCTGACTGGAGCGCCACTCCGCCAGTAGCCTGGACACTGACTCTTCCACTGTACAAAAGTACTGCCCAGCGTACTTAAAAAGTAGATCCTTGGGCATAAGCTAAGCACCTTATTTGCTTATCATAGGCTGCTATTCTGTAGAAATTTATGAAGAATGTCATTGCCCCATAACATGGGGTAAGAGAGAATTGCACTTTTTTTATATGGTAATGGATTTGTTGTAAAGTTTAAAATATTTTGTAAATATGGGACTTTTAGTACAGGGTAGAAAAAGACATATTGTGGGAAGCTAGATTTTGCAAGTTTAATGCATTCATTGGAAGCAGTTCTCACAGGAAGCACTTTCTGAATAAGACACTTGTATGAAAAAACAGAATGGTACATGTAGCCAAAGAACGTTGAAATAGATTATTTATAAGATCATTTTTAACAATGTATATTAGTATGTTTAACAATACTGTAAACACTGAAGCAAGCCAGAAAGTATAAGATATGTGTGTAAGATATGTATTTTTAAATTGCAAAATAGTGTGCCTATTGAGAAGTGGAAAACTGACTATTTTGGAAGATGTTCTAAGTTATGGACTTTGGAAGAGAAGAGATTTTTGAGGATCTTGGTAAGATGCACAGTAGTTGAGAATTTTCAGAATTGGAGTAATATCAGTCTTATTCTATCTTTCTGAGGCTTTACAACTCACTATGATGTTTAGGTTTGAAAAGCACTTGGCATCCCTATTATGTTAACTTGGGAACTTTTTGCACATTGCATATTTCTCATTTGCTGAAATTGAGTGATTAATCTTGCAAAGTCTAGGTAACTTGGTAATTGGTTTTGTTTTGTTTTGTTTTTTAATATTATGGGCCCTGTAATGAGATTTGGCACTTGGATTTTTATTGATAAAAGGGACATCTACAGGGTGGTTTTGTAGTGAACTGTTTTAGATCTTTTGTTAGCAAACACTAAATTTTAATTGTACTGCTTGTTTAGAATTATTAGCAAATGGAAGCCTCTTATTTATATTTTCAGTGCATAAAGCCACCTTCTTGCTTTACTTCAGAATAACATGCCAAGCTATTTTGTGTTCACTAAATTTAGTTATCAGTTAAACACTGCAGAAAATATTAGCTACTCAAATAAGTAGGTTTCTGGAATAGTTTCAACTGCAAGTGTGTTAACTTGTGTGGTGGTTTTAAGCCATTTTTCCAAATAGATGAAGTTTTTAAATACCACTTTATATACTGAAGCATGAACAGAAAAATCAAGACCTGAGCAGTTCACCTCCTTTATGTGTAGGCATAAACCTCCATCATTTAAACTTTGTTTAAGCAGAAACTTAATTTGATAGATTGCTTAATTGGAGTAAACCTCAGAGTAATAGAGGGAAATATGGGCTCTTCAGCGCTTTTTTTTTTCTTTTTGAAGTAGTAGCCTACGGATGTAGTTTAAACATTATCTAAAATGTAGGCTTTATCCAAAAATTCCAGTGTGTTGCAGTACACAGGTAGTTTAAAATGTGTAGCCATGGGGAAGGGGTGGTATGTAAATGTCTTGGAAAGAAGCAAAAGTGTGAAAGATGATAGTAACAAATAATGTGTATGAATGAGGACATACTTTAAAAATGTAATTCCTCTGTACAGTAAATTACAAATTTTGAGGGATTCTTTTTTGTAATAAGAGAATTTATATTTGTAATGGTCTAAGAATTTTGTTTGTAATCTGGTATATAGAATTTTAACTTGCAGCACTTATAAGCACAGTAAGAGAGACTGTAGCATCAGAATTTTCATGGTTTAGGTTTCATCATTTTCTCTAGAATTTTTGCTCTCAAATATAACTTAAATGAACTATGAAAAGCAACACTCATCAGTCTTGGGGAATTTAAAATTTGATGAACTTACCTAAAGAAGGAAGGGCAGTAAAATTGTATTAAAAAATACAAATACTTCCCAATTCATGGATAATAAAATTTAAGGCCTTCAGAAGTAAGGGTTTTTGTTTCTTTTTCTGGTCAGCCTTTGTCAACTATAATAGTTATATTCACAAACATTTTTTATTTGTATAATTGGAAGTTTAAGAAATTATTACAATTACTATAGAAATATTTAAAATGTTCTTTTTTGATATAAGCTATATACTTGGATGAAATAGAGTGGCATCTAAAATTTGAGGTGTGTTAAGACTGCTTTTTGTTTTAAAAATGTGGTTTACATTCAAATTTTTGAAGTGTTTTATGCTTCAGATGGCTCAGTTGTAGTTTGGCAGAGATAACAGCATAAGAATAAAGATGCTGTAATTTTAAAAGATGCTTTGAATAAAAATTTATTTTAATTTACAGTTTAGAGTACATGTTCATTCTTTTTTTTAAGATTTTATTTATTTGAGAGAGACCACGAGGACAAGCAGAGGGGGAGGGAGAAGCAGACTCCCCCCTGAGCAGGGAGCCCAATGTGGGGCTCCATCCCAGGACCCTGGGATCATGACCTGAACTGAAGGCAGATGCTCAACTGACTGAGCCACCCAGGTGCCCCTATAAGTTCATTCTTGAACCCTTTTATACTTTGTCTTCCTATCAACAATATGATAACCATAATATAAAAATTGAAAAGGTAGAAGTGTCACCTACAGCCCTACATCCTCCCATATTGTTATTTGGTGTGTTTTATATTTCATTTCCAGTGTCTCCTCAGGCATCTGTTTAGCATGGTAGAAACCATAGTGTGAATTGCTTTTTCTTACTTTAAAATTATGGCCATTTAGATTGTACATATTAATTTAACTTCCTCCTCTGGCTCATTGTTACAGTGTTAAAAATACACTGGTGTGGATAAGTATTGCCAGCTCTGTTCCAGGCCTCACGGTAAGGGTGATCAGGAACTGGGATTTTATTTCACTTATATTCAGGATGTGTTGAATGTGGTCATCTCCCTGAGAAGCCACTCAGGGCCTCTTTATGTTTTTAAGAGTCAAGCAAGTTGGTTTAATTTTTGTCATTAGTTATTTAGCTTTAGTCATATACTTGCAATAGGCAAGGTTCAGCCTGTCTAGGCTTTGAGCAAAAGAATTTCACATGCAACTCTTCAGTGTGAGTTGTGATTTAAACAGGATGAGATTTTGACAGCCACTTCAGATCCTGGAAGCATGTATGTTGTAGAAGCAAATTAAATGCAAATGTGATTAAGGCTGTTATTAAAAGTGAGTTTACTGTTTTGCAGCCAAAACTTATTTGGAGACTCACTGGAAACTAAATTGATCTTTTTAAAGGAAATTATCCAAAATGACTTCAAGTTCAGAGTTTTTGGTTCAACTGGAATATGACTTCATTTTCTATTTCATTTCATTTATTTATTTAAGTAGGCTCCATGCTGGGCGGGGCTTGAACTGAAGACTCTTGAGATCAAGACCTGAGCTGAGATCAAGAATCAGCTGCTTAACCTACTGAGCCACCCAGGCGCCCCATTTTCTTTCTTTCTTTTTTTTTTTTTTTAAAGATTTTGTTTATTTGACAGAGAGAGACACAGCGAGAGAGGGAACACAAGCAGGGGAGTGGGAGAGGGAGAAGCAGGCTTCCCGCCGAGCAGGAAGCCCGATGCAGCGCTCCATCCCAGGACCCTGGGATCATGACCTGAGCTGAAGGCAGACGCTTCACAACTGAGCCATCCAGGCGCCCCATTTTCTATTTTAAAATGGTCTTAACGTGTGTTTGCTTTTTTATTTTGCGTAATGTGGACTCTTTCTGGCTTTTTTAGAGCTAGTTATTTGTAAAAGTTCTGCTTTAGTTCTTATCAGTGTTGAAAATTCCTGGTTGTTCAGTGCCTACAACAAAAAAACAATTGTATGGCATCAATAGTTAGGCTCAAACATTTCTTTAATTTGAAATCTTTAGCTTTTCTAAAAAGCGAAAACTTCAGATTTTTAAAGTTAATTATTGAGAATGAAAATAGGGGACACTTATTTGAAAAAAAATCCTACATCAGGTAGAGTGTGGTCAGAGTAGGCAGTTCTGGGAGGCTCTCCTTCACAACAAACACTGAAGCTAGTTGCACTTCGCTTAGAAAAACAATGGGCCCTGACGTTAGGGAGAGAACCAGCCATAAAGCACCTAGAGGCAAGAAAAGAGTTGAGGCTCTGCACCCACCTTAACCCTTGTTACTCCTACGTATTAACTGGAGAGAAATGAACACACGTTCACACAAGAACTTGTACATTAAGGCTCATGGAAGCATTTTATATAAAAGCCCTAACCGGGAACAACCAACATCCCCATCAACTGGTGAAGGGATAAACTGTGGTCCTACTCTGCAATTTAAAGAAATAACAAGGGGGGTGGCAAAAGCCGTAGTAAACAGTAAAAGCCTTGACAGAGTACACACATGAAATTTATATGACGTTCTAGAAGAGGCAAATCTAACTCGGCAATAGAAATCAGAATGAGATGGGATTGCCTTCAGTGGGGCACAAAGGGCACTACTTGAGGTGATGGAAATGTGTTGATTTGGGTGGTTACAAGGGGGTACACATTTGTCAAAACAATAAACTGTGGGCTCGTGAAACCAGCATTTCCTTTTACGTAAATTATACGTTAAAAAGTGTAGGGAAAAAAGGGCAAAACAAATGCTCAAGCTAAACAGCAGCCCCAGAAGGGCAGTTGGGAAGGCGGAAGGGCGGCTTTACTCTCCCAACCCCGTTTCTGCCGTCCGTCAGCGGGAAGGAGGTGCTTAGCCCCGGGGACTGGCGAGCGCCAGCTTGAGCCGCCCGCACCGTCCGCGCCGCAGCCGCAGGGCGCTTTCCCGGGGCGCGCGCTCGGGGCGGCCGCGGCCCTTCCTGTCTCGGCCGCGCCCTCTCGCGGGCCAGCCGCGGGCGGGGACGGAACTGGGGCAGGGCGGGCCGGAGCGCGGCGGCGGGAGGGCGGCGGGCGGGCGGCGGGCGGGCGGCCGCGGGACATGACGGCGGGCGGCCAGGCCGAGGGCGCGGACCGGGACTCCGCCTCCGCGCGGCTGCCCTCCCGGGTGGCCAAGCTGCTGTCGGCGCTCTTTTACGGGACCTGCTCCTTCCTCATCGTGCTGGTCAACAAGGCGCTGCTGACCACCTACCGGTGAGGAGGACGCCGGGGGGGCCGGGCGGGGGCCGCGGGGCGCCCGGCTGCTCGGCGGTGCCCAGTCCCGGGAACTTCCCGCTCGCGGTGCCGCGCGAGGTCCCGGGGGTGGGGGCGCGGCGGGGCTGCCCCTGCCCTCCAAGCACTTTGCCGCGCCCGGCTCGGCGTTCTGGCCGGGACAGAGAGCGCGGAGTGTCCCTGCTGATTTCACGGAACCAGGACCTTCGCAGGCTTCTAAAAACCAAACCGCAACCCAACAGAGTCGTTTTACTATCGGGAAACGCGGACACACCTCACCACTGCTTACTGCTACTGCAAGACACGGCGTAGCTGTGCTTGTAGAGCTACACCCCAAAGTTTTCAGACGTACCGGCGAGCTCAAACAAGTGATCCGAATGTGAACTTCAAAGGCGAATAGTTCTTTACGCAGATCTCGATGTTCCACAATCAGAGGAGTCCTGAGGCAGGACGTGCGTGGTTTGATCTTTCATTCTCAAATTACCAGTGTGTTCGTGGAAAACAGTGAGAAGTTCACATGATGTACTTTTTGGATTAGTGTGCAGTAAGCCAGATTTGTGGCTCCTTGAGCCTATTTATAAGGACTAGAAATTCCTGTTTAATTCTGCTATCCTTATAGCAGCACTGAAAGCACTGTGGATTTAGATCCAGCTACGCCATCTGAGAGCTGTGCCTGTTGGGCCAGACCCATAGTCAGCAGTTTTCTCAGATGCAAAAGCTGGATAATTACAACCGCCTTAATTACCTCCCAGAGCTTTTTGCAGGAGCTGCCCTAGTGAGGGCTCTCTGACAAGACCGTGAAATCATAGTTCTATAAAGAGCCTAAGAGAGACCTCAGAGAGTGTCTTCAGCTTTCTTATTTTATACTTGAGAAAGCTGAGACCCACGTGAGCTTGGCTGGTTACACCTCCAACAGATGGTTACTGAGCACCTGCTATGAGCCAAGCCCATTGCAGGCACCAGGGAAGCCGCTGTGATCAGCACAGAGCCCCTGCTCTGGAGATTCCACACCAGTGGTAGAGACAGAAAGAAGTGGGTTCATGAATAAGCAGGGTGATTTCAGGTATGGTGTGAGAGTGCCTGGGGCTGAGTGGTTGGCACTAGAACGTTCCAAACTGAAGGGGCTGTGACGAAGGGGAACATGAGTTTGGTCTGCTGGAGGAACCCAATGAGCAAGTGGAAGAAGGTAGAGATGACAGGGAGGGAGGCAGGGAAGGCAGGATCAGATCCTTCCTTCATTCAATATTTATTAAGCACCTTTTGTGTGCCAGGCACTGTTCCAGGCACTTGGGGTAACAGAGTGAATGAAGCAGATCAAAATCCCAAATGTCATGGAGCAAATATCCATCCTCCTAGAGCTTACATTGAACTTTCTAGTGAATCAGTAAATAAACTGGTAGAATTTATATTATGTCAGATGCAGTTGTGTGGTCAGGAGGAAAAAGTAAGGCAGGAAAGGGAGTTGGGGAGTGTGGGCATGGGAAAGAGTTTGCCGTGTCCCATGATCAGTGAAGCTTCACTGAGGAGGGGACATTTGAGCCAAGAGATGAGTGAGGCGAGGGAAATGAGGGAAGAACATTGCAAACATGAAAGAGAAAGGTGTTTGGGTGGGAATGGTACTAGATGAGGTCCCAGGGTAATGGATTGCTAGATCGTGTAGGGACCGTGAAGCCACCGTGGAGGCTCTGAGGGAGGTAGGAGCCATTAGAAGGTGCTGAGCAGGGGAGTAACATGAACTAAATCCCTTCGGCTGCTGTGTTGAGAGCAGATATTGGGGGACCAGGGTGGAAGCAGGGAAACCATGATAAATAGTTTTAATTTTAGTCTAAATGCATTTGGGAGTCCCTTAGATGGTTTTAGCATAAGGAGTGACATGACATAATTTGTGGCATTAAGAAGATTTCTTTGGCTGGCGGGTGGTTGGTGAACTGATGGCATTGGAATCAGGGAGAGGAGCTAGGAAGCAATTGCTGTTTTCTAGATAATTCTGAAATGGCTTGGGACTGGAGTGAGGGGTAGCAGCAGATAAGGAAGAAGAGAGAGATTTTGGGATATTTTTTGGTGATCCTACAGACCTACAAGGTCTCTACCAGTGTGTTGCAAGCATGCTTGCTGGTGTCCATGGAGAACACAAATGCTGCCTCAAAGAAATTAGAATGAACATATACCTAAACCTGTATCATTTAACACATACAATGCAAACTAATGAAGGAAAAAGAAAACTTAAGCCATCTATGATAAGAAACAAGAGAATGGTATTTAGAGGCTTGTTTGGGAGTGGTTGACAGTTACGTTGGATGAAGTTTGAAGGTCAGTCTCGATTTTCTGCACTTGAGTGAGCTGTGTGCTCCCTGGCCATGGCAGTTCACTGCCTCCAAAAACATGTGTCTTGTTGGAAGCGGACCAGTAAACACTGGTTAAGGGCTTCGAAGATGAAGGGCAGTATCCAACTGGGAAGAATTATTGTATGAGACATCTATCTCATGCTCTAGTCTTTCCATCTTTAAAATTTTGAGTTCCATGATTGAAGGAGGAAATGGAGTTTTTGTCTCTGCAAGACAAAACTCTTTCAATCCTTAGAAGTAAACATTTTACATTTCCATAACGTAGTATACAGTTGGAGAACCCTGTTCAAATAACGTTGTTTGTTCTCTAATCTCAAAATGTTTTAGGAGCACATTTTTGAGGGGAAGAGGGTTGGGTTAATTTCGTTGCAACAATAAACCTTAGAAATCTGATCCAAACATTAGCTATTTGAAGATAGAATGTTGTGTTGTAGAACAGAAGGAAGGACATTTCAATAATTACCTAATTCACAGGGTCATGGGAATGTAGCTCAAAGGATGTTTTTTTCTCTTCCATTTTGAACAGATTGTTTCTGTTTGGGGTACAAGACCGATGGGTGGTCTTTGTTCTTTGTTAGACTTCTCTGGTTCATTGTAAATGCTAGATTTATCTGATTGGACGGACAGAGAGGTCTTTGAAGGATGTGAACTCTCAGACCCTGTTAAGGTGAGAGGGAAAAGGAAGGTCATCCAAGAATCTGTGGCCAGTTGGTTACACCAGTAGGTCTTTGGAATCAGATTCATGAAGGTTGTGCAGGTGGTCTGGAGTGGGCTTTTTTGGTTGCCATTGTAATATACTGTTCTCTATGACATGCAAGAATTTACTAACGGTGCTTAATAAAAATATAGAGCTTTAGCTGTATTTAGTTCAACAACCATTTGCTGTATGTCTACTTCTTTATGCATCCCAGGACTTTGCGGATCATTTAACAGAGTGGTTTCCAAACCTGCCCGGGAATGTGAATTACTTGGAAAGGTTTTTATAAAAGCTATTGAATTGAGTCTCCAGTGGTGGGAACTAGAAAATCTGTATTAAAAACAAAAACAACTCGTAATTTTCTCTTAATCTGATGAAAACCTGCTGTCTCCTGAAGACACTGCTCCCTTGGCCCCTGGATGCAGCTGGATCTTGGTCTCACCCTGAGTCTGGCCAGGAGGTGCGGGTGGATCCTCTTGCCTCCCCACTGTCCAGACTTACCACTCCTTATGGTCCTCTGTGGTGGCTCTGGAGCTCCTGTCACTCACGTAACAAAGAGTTCCAGTCTTCCTTTCCACCTGGACTGGCGTCAACCTTGGGGACTTCAGGATCCACCGAGGAACCCGCTCAGCCGGTGTGGCCCCGCTTCCTGCAGTCATTCCCAGGGCCATGTGCTCGGCGTGACCTGCCAGGTGCCTACGCCCCGCGCCGCCTCCAGCTTGTGTCTGCACATCCAACCCTGCGAGTCCTTTCCCAGGCCCACTGGGGCTGGCACTTGTTGGGCACAGCCTACCACTTGCCTCCCCACTTCACACGGAGCAGCACAAACTGTTGTGGGAGGAAACCCACTTCTGAGCTGACCGGGTTGACTTTAAGATGATGATCACAAAGCTCAACTGGCTCTCCTTCCTACCTACTAGTTTCTTCTGGGGGCTTGCTTTCCTCATCTCAGAAGCAACTCCTTCCCACTTTCTCCTTCCTTCTGAACCCTCCCACACCCCTATCCTCCACTCCCCATCTCTGATACTATTGAGAAAGTAGAAACCGTCAAAGAGGCCCCCAACTTGCCCTTGCTGCTAGGATGTAGGGAGCCTTTTGTTCCTGTGGAAGGTCCAGCTCTCCTGTTCTGCAGCTCTGCTCCTCCAACTTCTTCGATCTCCTCTATTCTGCTTCAGCATCCTCCAGCCCTTGAAAACATGTTCAGGTATCTCAACATTGCGGGGCTCAATCCTAGGACCCTAGGATCTCAAGGGAAAATAACCCATACTTGATCCCTCATGGACCCTCATTGCTCTGTTCCTTTCAGAGTCTGACTCTTCAGAAGTCTTCATAGTCTTCACTTCCTCACATTCACTTGTATAAGAATTCAGTTAAAAAATTGGAGGTTATTTAAACACAGAAATGTACAAAGAAGGCAATAATAATTATCTATATTCCCACTACCTAGAATCAATATCTTGAAATATCTATTAAAAACAATTTTTTTTTAAAGTAAACTCTGTGCCTGATATGGGGCTTGAACTCATGACCCCGAGATCAAGAGTCACTTCATCCACTGACTGAGCTAGCTAGGTGCCTCTCTCTCTCTCTCTCTCTCTTTTTTTTTTTTTTCAAGAAAAGTCATTCTGCCATGATCATTACAAAGAATTCAAACAAAAGAAAAATATTAAGGTGAGATTTTAAGAAATATTATAAAGATGTATAGATTTACTTTTTTTTTTTAAACATTTTTTTTTTTTTAAAGATTTTATTTATTTATTTGACAGAGAGAGACACAGTGAGAGAGGGAACACAAGCAGGGGGAGTGGGAGAAGGAGAAGCAGGCTTCCCGCGGAGCGGGGAGCCCGATGCGGGGCTCGATCCCAGGACCCTGGGATCATGACCTGAGCCGAAGGCAGACACTTAACGACTGAGCCACCCAGGCGCCCCTAGATTTACTTTTTAAAAATTATTTGAGAGAGAGAGCTCAAGCGTGTGTGTGAGCAGGGGGAGGGGCAGAAGGAAAGAATCTCAAGCAGACTCCCCGCTGTGTGCAGAGTGGCCCCAAGATCATATATATATATATTTATCCGCTCATCTGTCGATGGACATCTGGGCTCTTTCCATATTTTGGCTATTGTGGACATTGGAAAGAGGGTCTAGTTTTTTAAGTATCACCTAGGTGCTCCCCACCCCTAGCACTTTTCATGTTGAAAAGTTTCAAGCATACAGAAAAATGGAAGGCAGAGTACAATGAATACCCGTATACACATCACTGAATAATGAACATTTTATCATATTTGCTTCCCGCCCCTCCAGAAACCATTGAAAGTAAGTTGCAAACATCATGATACTGCACTCCAAAATATTTTAACATGTCTCTCCTGAAATAGGGATAGTCTCCTGCATAGTATCATTTTTGCTTTTAACAAACTTTAATGATTTCCTAAAGTAATCTAATACCAAATATATAATCATCCCAGTTGTCCCAAGATATTTTTATGGTTGTTTCAAACGTTTAAATCAAGATCCAATCAGGCTTCATAAAATGCGTAGAGTTATACCTTTATAGTTTATTTTAATCTAGAAAAGCTCCTCATCCTATTTCTTCCCCATGATACTGACTTTTTGAAAAGCCTGGGCCAGGTATTTTATAAAATGTCCCACGTTATGGATTGTCTGATTCATGTTTTGAAGGCTTGCTTAGCTTATTTCCCAACTGAAATTTAGATCTAAGAGCTTGATAACATCCAGATTAAACCTTTTTGGCAAGACTGCTGCATAGCCGACCCTGTGAACTCATTTTGTATCGTATCTGGGGCTGTCCCATTGTTTGTCATGCTGGCTGCATTTGAAGGTGGGAATTGCAAGTTGCACATATGTATGAAATTTAGTTTTAACTGAATTTCAAATATTGATTTCTTTACTATAAGTGTTAGTATTTCTTAAAAGATCCCTCTAAGATGAAGAGGTCATGAAAAACATTAAGAAGTTGATCTCATCTGGGCGCCTGGGTGGCTCAGTCGATTAAGCGATTAAGCGATTAAGCGATTAAGCGATTAAGCGTCTGCCTTCAGCTCAGGTCATGATCACAGGGTCCTGGGATGGAGCCTCGCATCGGCTTCCCACTCAACGGGGGGGGGGGGTCTGCCTATCTCTCTCCCTCTGCTCATGATCTTTCTCTCTCTCTCTCATAAATAAAATCTTTTAAAAAATAGTTGATCTCATCATGTTTATTTTGTAAACACATTTCAACTGTAAACACATTTCAATGTAAGGCCTCCCTGCTATGAAGGGTGAAGATACTTGCATGCTTCTTCCTGTCTCCCCTCCCCTCCATATCTTTTTTTATAATGTAGCATCCTGTTGTGTAATTAGAATCCCACAGCTGTTTGCATCTGTTCTATATTTGAATGGATATAGTAATCAGTAACAGCCCTTTTACCACAATGTCTCCATTCCTAAATTCATTGTTTTGATTTGACACCTAATTGGTGGATTCCATTGTCAGGTGGTTATTTTATGGATTTCGTGGCTACTGCTTTACTTACGTCAAACATTCTTTAACAGTGTGCTTTTAGATCTGAAGATTTAGTCCATTTATTTTTCTCATGTCAATAAATTTGCTTTTTATCTTTGAATCATTTTCTCTCTTTATTGAGTTCCTTCTCCCCATGTATTACATTTTCCTCTCACCTGGTCTCTTTATCTGTCCTCCGTAAGCTTTTTCTTGTTGTTTTACTGTTTGTTTATGTTGCTGTCTTGTGGTTTCGTTTGATGTGACTGGTTATATTCTCTGGCAAGCAGACTCTGAGATGCGGAGGAAGTATAGTGGGGGGAGCTGTTAGGATCCACTTCCATGGTGAAGTGAGGGAGGTAGGGTTTGGCTGTACTGCAAGCACAACAAAGCCTGATCCCAGGGGCTCTGGAGCTGGGATGGCCCACCAGACTTCTAAATTGGAGTGGGGGCCCTGGCCTTTACACCTTTGCACAGACCAGATATCAGAATGCAGGATGCTCACAGGGAAGGTGTTTGCGATGGGCAAGGCAGCTTTCTTCAGCTCGGGATGCTCTTGGGCAACTGGGGAATGAATGCTCAGTCCAGAAGGGGGTGTCTGGGTGGCACAACTGGCCTCCACCCCTTGGAATTAATTTTATTCTCCCGGTGGTAATGTCCAGGAGTATTCCTTCTATTTTCTTTGATAAGGTAAGTCCATTCTTTATTCTCTTCTTGCCCTAGCTGAAATAGGTGCGTTTCCCTCTGACATACAGATTGAGGGCTCGGGGGGGAGGGGTGTGTGTGGGGGTATTTCCCTCCATTTTAGTAGACTGAGAGAATGACTGGGAGCCAGTGTAGTTTTGGGCAGTGAGCAAGGTGTATGTGCTGCCTTGTTAAATATGGTGTGAAGTGGGAGTCAGGATTGTGGATCTACATTACTTGGTGCCACTTGTTGAAAGACTGTCTTTCGGGGCGCCTGGGTGGCTCAGATGGTTAAGCGTCTGCCTTCGGCTCAGGTCATGATCCCACGGTCCTGGGATCAAGCTCCGCATCGGGCTCCCTGCTTGGTGGGGAGTCTGCTTCTCTCTCTCCCTCTACTGTTCCCCCTGCTTGTGCTCTCTCACTCTCTCTGTCAAATAAATAAAATCTTTAAAAAAAAAAAAGAAGGATATGTTTAAAAAAAAAAAAGACTCTCTTTCCCTCAGTGCTCTGCACTGTCATCTTTGTCATGTATGTGTGTATCTGTCTTCATCTCTGTTCTCATCCATCGTGCCAATGCAAAATGAACAAGCCTTTTAGAATCTCTAGAAGTAAAAAAGTTTTATTCGAGCCCAAGTTAGGACAGCTGCCTGGGGAAACATGCTCTTCACAGGGAAGAAAGAGCTCCAGATAATGAACAGTTTTTACAGGGTTATATATTGTTTTTACATCTTGTAAAAGCTCAAAAGATTATATATTAACATATGGGCAAGAATCACAAGGTTTTTTTTTCTCATCAGTTGTAATCGTTAATTAGTCTTTATTAGATTTGTTCCTGGGTATATTATTATTATTATTTAAAGATTTTATTTATTTATTTGAGAGAGAGGGAGAGCATGAGTCGGGGGGAAGGGCCAGAGGGAGAGAGAGAAGCAGGCTCCCTGCTGAGCAGGGAGCCTGATGGGGGGCTCAATCCTAGGACCCTGGGATCATGGTTGGTCTTAAGATTTTTTAATAACTCCTGACATTATGTATTATAGACTGCAGACTTTTATCAGTTGTTAAAATTGTTTGTTATTCTGTGTTTTTAAACAGATTCCCATCACCAATTTTTCTTGGAATTGGACAGGTAAGTGAAAAAGAAAAATTAACTGCTTAATCAGTTGTCATCATACATGATCAAATTTTAAGTGCTTTTGTTTAAGACCATGGTTTACAAATTTATTCAGTGGGCAGAGGACCAGAGGATCATGGTACTTTTGGTGAAACAGCATGAAATATTGACACACATCTTATGTCTTTCTATACTTTAGGAACAGTTGTCTTTGAAGGAAAAAAAAAACTACTTGTTTCAACTTCCTTAATTGAATTTAATTACCCTAAAACAAGGGGCCAGAAGACTGACAGCCTCCAAGGCCTGGTGGGCAACAAATGAATGTGTTGGAGGCTGGGGTGGGGCCAGGAGCACAGCTGCCCCAGTGGAAGTGTGCCGTTGGTACTCAGTTCAAGCCACTGTGCGGAGAGCAAAAGGGCTGCGGGGTGAGACTGGGTTCACTACACCCTTATTATCAAAACTCTGGAGGTGTTTCAAGAGAAGCAGGGGTTTTGAATTTTTACATCAAATGTGTAAATGCTGGCAACACATTCCAATTTTTACAAAACTCTCTATGGGTCTAACTAAACAGGTTTGCATTTTGCTTCCTGCAGTTTGTGATTTTTTTGTTCTCAAGTATAAAGACGAGGTTGGGGGCGCCTGGGTGGCTCAGTCGTTAAGCGTCTGCCTTCGGCTCAGGTCATGATCCCAGGGTCCTGGGATCGAGTCCCGCATCGGGCTCCCTGCTCCGCGGGAAGCCTGCTTCTCCCTCTCCCACTCCCCCTGCTTGTGTTCCCTCTCTCGCTGTGTCTCTCTCTGTCAAATAAATAAATAAAATCTTTAAAAAAAAAAAAAAAGACGAGGTTGGATAAGCTTTCAGACTAACCCCATTTGGCTGCTTCTGAAATTTCCCATTAATATTAATTCGTGGCTTGTTTACTCTTGATCACATGCTGGTGCTTTCTAGTAGGCAAGTGGGAACAGGCACCAAAGGCACCTTTTTTTTTTTTTGGTTTTGCTTTAATTTATAGGGAGAAAAATGTAAAATTAGGAAAACTGTATCTGTTAATTTTTAATTTTGAATATTGGAAAGGATGTCATTTATATGATTAAACATTATTCTGGTTAAATGTTTTGCTGATAAGGCACTCTTTGCAACATCATTTTAGGGAAAAAAATAATATATTTCCTTAAGGTCAAAAATATATTATCTTAATGTTTCAATGTGAAATAGGTAGAAAAGAGTACTTTAAAAGATCAGTGAATATATGATAATGTGCCCTTAGTAATCCCCAAGGCAAATAAATTCACTGGCTTATACTCAAAGTAAAGCCTTTCTGATATACAATTTGTGGGGGAAGAGAGCAGCAGACCTAATTTAAAAAGTCTGAGTTGCAGAATATTTTAAGTAAGTGTTAGTATATTTCTGTAAGTATTACAAAGTAAGTTATAAATATAAACTATAATTATAATTCAAGATGGGCTCCGTTATATTAATCTATCATAAGTATTACATTTGTAAACTCATTAGGCTCAAGGTTTAGGATGATAATCATGTTGAAGGAGTTCCTAAATTTTTGCATCATAATATGGAGAAAATTGAGTAAGTTCTAAAATTTGCATAAGAAGATTATATTAAGATTTTTTATTTCATAATAATAATCTGGAATATTTCTAATACACTTGATGTACTCCAGATTAATAGGGTTCGAATGAGATTTTTGCAGGACTGGCTAGATTGAAGAGAAAAATAAATCCCCTTTAAAACTGTTTTTCTCTTAATTTGTCTTCTGTATTATAGGAATATTGGACATTACAGAAAGCGTGTTTGTATGTGGAGTTTGCCCCCTCACAGTACCCCCAGTCTCTATGTGGGAAGGTGACCGTATGCTCGAAAGTATGGTCCAGAATCAAGGAGTGGCCTCACTGGTCACTCTGGCCAGTTTTGGGGACACCATTTCTTTTTTCCCCTCTGTCACTGTTCCTTGAGCCCCTTGAGATAATATGTATATGTGTGAGACTATTTGATCTTATACTTTTTGCTTATGGTTCTGATGGAATTTATACATTGGCAAGAAAAACAATTTTAATATTCTAAGAAATAGTTATTATTTGGAACCTAGAAAATGGATTTTTTGGATAATGTTTTCTTTTTGATGAATGTATTTTCTTCTGATGACTTTGTACCTCAGTCTTTCCAGATATTTTGCTGAAGTTTCTCCCTCTCCCCCCTTCTTTTTAGATGGCAGCTACCATAATGATACTGTATGTATCCAAACTAAATAAAATAATTCACTTCCCTGATTTTGACAAGAAAATTCCTGTGAAGGTATGTGATGAAAAGTACATATAGCTTTGATGGAAGATGTGAAAATGCTATAGAATTATAAATTGATCTAAGAATACATGTCAGTTTCCACACACACTGTGCTTCCTGCTTACACTGGGTAAAGACTTCTTAATAGAGATATTATTCATTCAGTTGTTCATTAAAATAATGTAATAATAGTAAAAGTGTGTGGTTAGCAATTGACATTAAATAAATACTTTATGTTTTCTGAAACGATAAAGCCCTACCAGGAATTGGTAAGCTTTTTTGGTAAAAAAGCCAGATAGTAAATATTTAGGCTTTTGGACCAGACCATCTCTGTTGGAACTATTCAGCTCTGCCACTGTATTATGATATGTAAATGAATTGCTATGATTGTGTGCTAATAAAACTTTATTTACATAGACAAAAGATGGGCCAGATTTGGCTTTTAGGCCCTACACTTCTGATCTTGTTTTAAGTTTTCATTTTTAGCTTGGATCGATAAAAGCTGTGAGTGGAAGGAAGAATACAATTTGATATCCATAGAAATATATGGGTTTTCCTGTGGTGGAACTAGAAACATAAAACCTGCCGTTCCTTCTTGGGAATGTGGAACAGAACTACCTTTTGTGAACAGTTGCTAGTTCAATAAACAGGTGTTTTAAGCGAGGCATTTAGTTCTTAGAGCAATCCTATACAACAGGTGGTACTAATTGGATTATGAGGACATGTTTGGATTTAAGGAAGTTAAATCAGACTGTCAGTTCCTTGAGGGTGAGGACCTCACATGGCTTTTTCTCTACCAGGCCTGGAAAGATGCTGGCATCTATCACTAAATTATTCATTAGGCTGACTAAGCACATGTGTACAGCATCAATAATCAGGGACGTTCACAAAAAGAGAAAAACAAAATATTGAAGTACAATGAAAGCATTAACCCAATCATAATAGGAAAAATCAGAATATCGTTGGGTTTGCTTATACTTAGTTTATGATATGCTATAGTTTTTAAACATTTTAAAATTGTGAAATATGATCTAATATGTAGGGAAAAAGCATCATACATGAATGTATAGTTGAATGAATACTAACCTGTGCAATCATTACCTCGGTCATGAGATGGGGTCAACAGAATCTCCTTACCCACTATTCTGACTTTTGTAATAATACTTTTTCTTCTTGCTTTCTTTGTAATTATTCTAATATGCATTCCTCAATTATGTTTTGCATGAATTAGTTTTGCTATTTTTGAATGTTCTGGAAAGAGAATACTGTTCTGAACATACTTAGGGTTGGATCTCAGTGCACATGTATTAGTCAGTGTTTCCATAACAAAATACCACAGACGGGGGCGGGGGGGTAGGGCTTAAACAACAGGAATGAGTTTTCTCACAGTTCTGGAGGCAAAAAAGTCCAAGATCAAGGTGTCAACAGGGTTGGTTTCTGGTGAAAGTTCTTTCCCTGGTGTGTAGACAGCTGCCATCTTGCTGTGTCCTGATGTGGCCTTTACTTTGTATGTGCACACTCCTGGTGTCTCTGTCTTAGAAGGACATCAGTCCTATTGGATTGGGCCCCATCCTTATGACCTCATTTAACTTTAATTACCTCTTAAAAGCCTTATCTCCAAATATAGTCACATGGGGGTTAGGGCTTCAAGATATGAATTTTAAGGGGACACAATTTAATCTAAAAATGGCACTTGTGGCATGAATTTCTCTGGGAGTTATATGAAGAAGTGGAATGGTGAGGGTGCCTGGATGGTTCAGTTGTTGAACGTCTGCCTTCGGCTCAGGTCATGATCCTGGGGTCCTGGGATTGAGCCCCATGTTGAGCTCCCTGCTTGGGGGGCCTGTTTCTCCCTCTCCAGCTCCCCCTGCTTCTGTTCCCTCTCTCCCTGTCTCTCTATGTCAAATAGAGAAATAAAATCTTAAAAATAAAAAGAAAAGAAGTGGAATGGTTGACTCCTATCCTATGCACATCTGCAACTTGAGTCAATAATGTCAAAATGTTCTCCAAGCTGGTTGTACCAGTTCACACTCCTGACGAAAGTGCATGAAAGTCCTTGTTGCTCTGCATTCTTGCCAATCCTTGATATGTCAGTCATTTTATTTATTTTTTCACTTTTTGCTATTTTAATTACTGTGTGTCAATATGTCAGTCATTTTAAATTGTGCTAATCTGGTGGGTGTATAATGACTTCTTGGCTTTTATTTGCATTTTCTTGGTTATTAATGAGGGTTTTTTAAATGCCCATTTTGGATATCCTCTTGTGAAGTACTTGTTCAAGACTTTTGCCCATTTTTCTATTGGGTTGATGTCTTTTTCTTACTGATCTGTATAGGAGTTAAAAAAAATGAATTAATGATAATCTTCTTGTTAGTTATATACAGTATTACAAATACATTTTCTACCTCTGGGGCATATCTTTTTATTTTCTTTATCATGTGTTTATCATGTATTTCTTTATCATGTATTTCCTATCATGAGCAGGAATCCTAATTTAAAGATAGTGAAATTTTTTTTTTTAAAGATTTTATTTGTTTATTTGACAGAGAGAGACAGCGAGAGAGGGAACACAAGCAGGGGGAGTGGGAGAGGGAGAAGCAGGCTTCCCATGGAGAAGGGAGCCCGATGCAGGGCTCAATCCCAGGACCCTGGGATCATGACCTGAGCCGAAGGCAGACACTTAACAACTGAGCCACCCAGGCGCCCCTAAAGATAGTTAAATTTTATCAGCCTGTTCCTTTATGATTAATCACTATTCTTCTTAGGAAATCCTTCTTCACTTTGAGGTTATGATGATATTTTTGTAGATAAAAGGTATATAGTTTTTCAGAATGAGGTTTTTAATCTGCTTGCAGTTAATTTATTTTAATAAATAATAAATAAAATAAATTTTATTTTCAGTGGGGAGATTAACACAAATAATCTAGCTCATTTTAATTTTTTAAAAAAATCCACATATAATCTACCTATGCAGTTCAAACCTGTGTTGTTCAAGGGTCAACTGTAATTAAAACACTCTACCTATAAGATTTAACTAGTTACATTTTTAGGCACCTAATGATATAGACTCAAAATAAATAAAATAAAACAAAACAAAAAACCTGACAGAAATATCAAGAGAAATAGACAAATCCACAATTAGAGATGATGGCTGCAATAGTATTCCCCATTTCACATGCTCTTAAAATGTGACTTTGACACTTCCTTTCATACAGAGGTAGGCTCTAAGTCCCTTCCACGTAAAATTGCATGGGACTGTTTCAACTAATAATGTACAGATGAAATGATGCTATGTGACCTTTGAGGCTAAGTCATAAAAAGCAAGGTCGTTTTGCCCTGCTTGCTGGAACACTCGCCCTTGAAGGATTCAGTACGGTGTAACCATTTTGACTCCCCAGAGCCTGCCATTTTGTAAGGAAGCCCAAACTGGCTTACATGAGTAACCACATAGAGAAGACTGAGATAATAGGAAGAGAAGGATTTGTGACTAGCTCCCAGCTGTACCAACCAGAACCCCCATCACTGTTTCCACTCTGCTATTGTCTGTCAGAAACTATACAGAAGCCCTAAGCCAGAACTACCCAGTTGAGACTGTCTCTAATACCTTAACCACAGTAACTGTGAGAAATAATACGATTACTGTTTTGAGTCACTACGTTATGTAGCATAAGATAGTTGGGACAGGGGTGCCTGGGTGGTACAGTCAGTTAAGTGTCCAACTCTTGGTTTTGGCTCAGGTCATGATCTCAGGGTCAAGTTAAAGCCCTGAACTGGGCTCCGCACTCAGCACTGAGGCTGCTTGAGATTCTCTCTCCCTCTCCATATGCCCCTCCCCCTGCAAATAATCTTTAAAAAAAAAAAAGATAACTGGAACAGGCATATAAGTATCTACAAAAAACCTACAGCAAACAACATACTTAATGCTGAAATGTTTCTAAAAACTAGAAGTCAGTATTGTTTTTTTGTTTGTTTGTTTGTTTGAGTTATATATGGAAAGGGGGCAACTGATTCTTTTCAGTGCCTAAGAACTTCTAAAGTTGTACTATCCCAGGAGTGTTACTGTTGAGCCAGTTGTAGGCTGTCAACCAGAATGTTGTGAATAAGGGGAAGGTCCTAGGTCTGAGGTCCTCTCTTCTTTGTGTCTTCTTTCTTGAGCAAATCTCCTGATAATAAAATTTTGTAACTTTTTTTGGGGGGTGGATGACACTTAGTATTTCAAAATCCTTCAAAGTATATCTTATCTGAGTTACCTGCTTAATGTCTTTTTAGTGGAAAAAGAAATGCTGGACTCACCTTGATAGCTATGGATTATTATATCAGCCAAAAAAAGTTCTCAGTTATTGTGTGACCTTATGAAAGGATATATATATTTTTTTCATTCATGGAAGACTAGGTCTTACATTTTTGTGTGTTTCTTCAGTATGTTTTGAACAATATTTCTCTTGACAATCAGAAAATAATCCAGGAGCTCAGAGCTCAGTAAACCTAATTCAAGTACTACTGGTACATTGTTTAACCTTGGTAGATATGTAATCGTTCTGGGCCTCGAAAACAAAGTAACTCCAAAGTAATATGGCTGGTAGACACAACTTTTTGAAAGGGTCACCAACCTTGTGACATCCCAGTGAGATATGAACCTTTGCTGTCATCCAGAAAAGTACATAATACATAGATAACAAGTTTGTACGCCTTCTCAAGGGGCCTTCTGAACCTTATGCATAAACTATAAATACCCATCCTCCACTCACCAACTCAGCCAGGGGTCTCCACTTAAGAGAGGTGCTTATTCAGAGCCTCCCTTTAGGGACATAGTCTGCTAATGTTGGTAAGGTCAACATTTCCGTTTTAACGCAGCTCCACTCCTCCCCGCCATCGTTATAGATATCACTGCCCATCTAACTATTTTGGTCACATGGAGAAACTCATGACGTGTTTTAGATTGTGGAAAATTCACAGTTGTTACAGGGAAACAGACTCAAATGATTTGCTTACTGACAGGAAGTGTCACCATTTATATATGTGAAGGAAAATTGTTATTGGAGTTCTAATCAAATATTCTTTCTTTTTTTTCATGGAAGCTGTTTCCTCTGCCTCTCCTCTACATTGGAAACCACATAAGTGGATTATCAAGCACAAGTAAATTAAGGTAAGTGCAGGAGAATGGTTGATGGGAGGTTGTTGACTCATTTGTTTCCAGTGGTACGAAGACCAAGTTTGATTTTGAATATACTGCATGGGCTACATACAGAAGACAATAATGTTTACTAATTTAAGAAAACTAAGTGGAGTTTTGAGTTTAATTTGCTAATGTTTTTAGGAAAGTTAAAAGGCTGATTTTTTTCCCTTTATATTCGAGTCTGAACATAGAATGTGAGATCTGTGGGCATGAAGACAGAGAAGGTCTGATTTATCCAGGAGGATTTATTTACATTGTATATTCAATATCCAATTCATTTGGGTAACTGGGTAACTGGTTTTATCATAGTTTTGTAAAAGCAGGAACATTCTGTCAGATTTGGTGTAGGTCAGGTTTGGTACAGAGAAAAATAAGTGACAAATGTAATTTTTAAGTGTGTTATATACTTCTGAAATTTGCATTTGCATATATTTTAGGGTCCTTTGATTAACTACTTTTGTTAAAAGTCACTATAAAAAATGGAAATGGAAGTATAGAAAGACCAAGCCACTCTCTACAACAGAAAACTTGGATGCGAGATATGTAGCCTAATTAACACATATGAATGCAGGTGTAAATAATGAGAAAATGAAGTTTGTGCAAAGGGTGACAGAGATTGAGGTCAACCCTGTTAGTTTGGTGAGAGTAACAGGGGGCAGGTAGGAGGTAGACCAGAAGGAGAATGTTGTATAAAACAGACAACTGAAATCAGACCTGTTGTCTTTCCTCTTGTTTGGAAAGGACAGGTTGTGGTTGTAGAAAACAAAATGTGAAATATTGGTTGTAGTTATACATTTTAGTTGTTTTTTTGTTTCTTTCTGGGATCGGGACAACCAATTTTCCTTATTTGTCTAAAATTGGTATTAAAGTGTCGCTTGGTAGGTGCTATCCCTGTGTTACCATGTATCCTGTTGGTCTGTCTCTGAGTGGGTGCACCTGCCGCTGTTGGGGATGGCTTCACTCAACATTGACAGCTGCCTACTCCTCACACTGGAGGGCTCTGGAAGTCTCTGCTTTGTAGATGAGAGCTGCTGCTTTTTTTTTTTAAAGTGATTTTAGAAACATCCTTATTACAGGTGTTCTAAAATGCTCTGCATGCATTGCAGGATGTGTCTAACTTCCATTCACCCATAGGACACTGTTCTCAAGTAGCAAGCAGGTAGCAATGTGAGAAATATCTTTATTACAAGTGTTCTTAAACACTTTCTACATGCATCTAGAACGGGGTGGGGGGGCACTTCTTGGGTGCCGTGGGGCTTTCTGGAAGAGAGAAGGAACCAGAAAATGAGACTGAGGAGGAAGAAGGATTGTTCATACATGGTGTCATGTAATGCATTCCTCTATGCCTCATATTTTTTTCCATAAACTGGTAGTTGGTTCTACTGGTTTGATCATCTTCAGGTTCAGTTTTTCAGGCAAAATCAGTTTATTGGTATGTTGGGTGCTTCCTACTGCATCATGGGACACATAATGTTTTAGCCCACTTTTTAAAAAATAGCTTTTTGAGGTATAATTGGCATAAAGTAAAGTAAACATAATTAAAATGCACAATATGATAAATTTTGACCTATGTATACATCTGTGAAATCCGTCACCACAATATCCAACACCCACAGAAATTTCCTCAAATGTCCTACTTATGATGATATTAAATTGATCAATTCCCCTTTTAATAATTTTAAGGGATCAGTCTGATCCCTTCATTAGAAAGTGCCCCATCACTCTTTCACCTAATGGTTTTAGCATTCATTGATGATAATTTTCTAAATCCATTATTTCATTACAAGTTGCAGTATGGTGATCTAACTATATCACCCCATCTGCATGTGTTGTCTAAACTTTAATAAGTACAAACTTTTACCATGTCACACAGGAAAGGCAGGAGGTAAGCTTTATTTATACATGTTCAGAATAATAAATTAGTGTCCTGTCACCTTCAGTGGTGACTAGTGAGTTTTTGTTAATTTTTGTTTTTTGCTATCATTATAAACTCATGAATTTTCAGTTATTTGATAGAAATCTTTTGCAGATACATGTTTTGCAAATATTTTCTCTCAGTCTGTAGTTTGTCTTTTCATTCTCTTAATATGGTTTTTCAGAGCAGAAGTTTTAAATTTTAATGAAGTTCCATATCAGTTTTTTCTCTCATGGATCATGCTTTTGGTGTTGTTTTTAAGAACTCATTGCTGAGGGGCGCCTGGGTGGCTCAGTCAGTTAAGTGTCTGTCTCTTGATTTAGGCTCAGGTCATGATCTCAGGGTTGTGAGATCGAGCCCTGCATCAGGCTCCACACTCAGCGGGGTGTTTGCTTGGCATTCTCTCTCTCCCTCTCCCTCTGCCTCTCCCCACCTCCCGCTCTTAAAAAAAAATACACACACACACACACACACACAGACACTCATTGCTGAGGGGTGCCTCACTGGCTCAGTCAGTAGAGCATTGCGACTTTTGATCTTGGGGTTATAAGTTTGAGCCCCACATTGGGTATACAGATTACTTAAAAAAATAAAATTAAAAAAAAAAAACTCATTGCTGAAACGAAAATCACCTAGATTTTCTCCTGTTTTATCTTCTAGGAATTTGATAGTTTGCATTTTACATTTAAGCATATGGTCTATTTTGAGTTTATTTGTGAAAGGTGTAGTGTCTATCTGGATTCTGTTTTGCATGTAGATATCCAGTTGTTTGAGCATCATTTGTTGAAAAGATCATCTTTCTCCATTGAATTATGTTTGCTCCTTTGTCAAAGATGAGTTGATTGTATTTGTGTAGGCTTATTTCTGGGCTCTATTGATCTATTTCATTTACTTGATGTTTCAAGTCATTTTATAAACAATTCTTTTGATGTTCACATTATTCCATCTCAGGCAAATGGGAGCCCCTTTGAGTTGGCTTTTTTGTTCTAGGGCCGCAGTTATCTGATTACTTCCTTGCTGTCTGGCACATGATGTCCCAGGCTTATCTTGGACTTTTTCTGCCATTTCTCCAAGGATCCCCTGGTTATTTTTAATGTTAAAGGTTATGTTGAGGCCACATCTGGGTGTGTATATATCGTGAGGGACCAGCCAACACAATTTCCTGATGATTAACATGTGGGTTGTAAGACAAAGAAAGGAGACAAAAATGACTTCATGGTTTTTGGAAGAATGGGATTACCATTGATTGGATCTATGCCTAGGAGGATTGCTGGTCATGTGGCAGTTCTCTGTTTAACATTTTGAAGAATTGTCGAACTGTTTCCCAAAGTGGCTACACCAATTTACAGTCTCACCAGCAATGTAGGAAGGCTATGACTCTTCTACATTCTTGCCAAATTTGTTATTGTCTCTCTTTTGGATTATGGCTGTTCTAATGGTTGTAAAGTAGTATCGTGTTGTATTGATTACATTTTTCTTTTTTTTTTTTTAAAGATTTTATTTATTTGAGAGAGAGAGAGAGAATGAGAGATAAGAGAGCATGAGAGGGAAGAGGGTCAGAGGGAGAAGCAGACTCCCTGCTGAGCAGGGAGCCCGATGCGGGACTCGATCCCGGGACTCCAGGATCATGACCTGAGCCGAAGGCAGTCGCCCAACCAACTGAGCCACCCAGGCACCCTGATTACATTTTTCTGATGACTAATGATGTTGGGCATCTTTTCATGTGCTTATTGGCTATTTTTTAATAGGGTTATTTATCTTTTTAAGTATTAAGTCTTCTTTATATATTCTATGTATAGGTGCCTTATATACATGATTGCAAATTTTTCTCTTATTTTGTGGGTTGTCTTTTTACTCTCTTAATGGTATACTTTGAAACACAAAAGTTTTAAGTTTTTAAAAATTTAACAAGGTAAAATATACATAACATAAAATTTACCATTTTAACCATTTTTAAGTGTACAGTTCATTGGCATTCAGTATATTTGGGTGTTGAGCAACCATCTCCACTATTTCTAGTACTTTTGCATCATCTTATACTGAAGCTCTGTACCCATTAAATAATAACTCCCCATTTTCTCATGCTCCCAGCCACTGATAACCTCTATTTTACATTCTGTCTCTATGAATTTGCCTACTGCAGATATTTCATACAAGTGAAATCATACAATCTTTGTCCTTTTAAATTATGGCTTATTCCATTTAGCATAATGTTTTCAAGGTTCATCCATGCTGTAGCATGTATCAGAATTTTAGTCCTTTTTTTTTTTTTTTAAGTAAACTCTACATCCAGTGTGGGACTCAAACATACAACCCCAAATCAAGAGTCCCATCCTCTACCGACTGAGCCAGCCAGGCACCTCTATTCCTTTTTCTTAAAGCTAAATAATATTCTATTGTTTGTATATATCACCTTTGATTATCCATTTATAAAAATTGAAAATTTTGATGAAGGCTAACTTACCAGTTTTTTCTTTTGCGGCTTGTGCTTTTGGTGTTGTATCTAAGAAGACTTCACCTAATCCAAGGTCATGAAGATTTACCCCTATGTTTTCTTCTAAGAATTTAATAATTTTGGCTCCTACTGGAAGTCTCCTACAAAGACTTTAGGTCTTTGATACATTATGAGATCAATTCTTGTATGTGCTGTGAGGAAGGGGTCCATATTCATTCTTTTGCATGTGGATGGATATTCAGTTGTTCCAGCACCGTTTGTTGAAAAGATTTTTCTTTCTCTGTTGTATTGTCTTGGCACCCTTCTTGAAAATGAACTGACCATAATTGTATGGATTTATTTCTTGATTCTTAATCCTATTCCTTTGATTATATGTTTATAATCAATAACTAATACTGATTACTCTAGCTTTGTAGTAAGTTTTGAAATTGGGTCCACCAGCTTTGTTCTTCTCTTTCAAGATTGTTCTGGCTTTCTGGTTTCCTTGCATTACCATATTAATTTTAGAATCAGCTTGTCAATTTCTGGGAGGGAAAAGCCAACTGAAATTTTGATAGGGATTCTGTTTAATCTAGATCTATTTGGGGGGTATTTCCATTTTAATAATATTAAGCCTATTGATCCAGAAACATGGAGTATCTTTCCATTTGAACTTCTTTAATATTCTAACAATATTTTGTAGTTTTTAGTGTACAAGTCTTACACTTCTTTTCTTAAATTTATTCCTAAGAATTTTGTTCTTTTTCATGCTATCATTGTCAGAATTGTTTTAATTTCCTTTTAGGTTTGCTCATTGCTAGTGTATAGAAGTGTAATTGATTTATATATATTCAATTTTTTTTTCCTGCACTCTTACTTAACTATTATTAGCCCAGCTAACTCTTTAGTGGATTCCTTAGGATTTTCTATATATGTCATCTGCAAATAGAGATAAATTTATTTTTTCCTTTCCAAACAGTATACTTTTTTTTTTCTTCTCCAGCTTAATTGCCCCTTCTGGAATCTCAACTACTTGTTGAATCGATGTAGTGTTGAGAGCAAACATTATGGTCTTGTTACTGATCTTAGGGGGAAAACATTCAGTTTTTCATCATTAAATGTACCTTACTTTCTTTTAAAAGACATCATGTAAAAATACTTGTGGAATTAATTGACTTTTGGCTTGCTTTGAAAAAGGCAGTTCTAACCAGTCTCATAAGACATCTTTAAGTTGTGGACATAAAGTTCCTGTAAATTCTTCCTGTACCTGCTCTCCAGTTGTGATGTCATGTTCATGATCACATGAAACCCTTCCTCAGGTCTGGTCAGGAGGGGCTGGCCACTGCCCTCCTGGCTCTGGTTCTGACTTTCCTTCTCTAGGTCACCCTCTTCTTACAGTCTCATCTGGAAGCAGATGAAAGTGGGCTGTTCCAGCTCAGGCAGTTTGTTGGTTGTGCACTGAGCAGTGTCTTGGAATCTCTGGGTTTTGACAGCCAATGAAGGGTTCTTAAGTATTTTTAAAAGGCAGTGAATATGGCTTCATTACATAAAGTTTTGGGGGAAAAAATAACCCATAATTTTATCCTCTAACTTACTATTTTATTTTATTTATTTTTATTTATTTTTTAAAAAAGATTTTATTTATTTATTTGGGGGGAGGAAGCACAGAGGGAGAGGGAGAAGCAGACTCCCTGCTAAGCAGAGACTCCCTGCCGCACCCCAATGTGGGGCTTTATCCCAGGACCCCAGGATCACAACCTGAGCTGAAGTCAGACACTTAACTGACTGAGCCACCCAGGTGTCCCTAACATACAATTTTAAATATCAATTTCAGTCTTTTCCCATATGTGGACTGTATCTTGTTTCAGTTGTAGACGCTACATACTTTTGTGCCCTCCTTGTTTTATTTAATATTCATTTTCCAATAGTAGTATAAAGTTTTATATTATAGAGTTAACACATAATGTTCCCTCAGGTAGATTTATCATGTTTATTTTATCATTTTCTTGTGTGACTTTTAAGTTGTTTCTGATGTTTTCCCCAAAAACACTATTGCAGTGAACACATTTGTGCACATGGTTTTTTTCTTTCTTTTGTATTATTACCATAGGTTAAGTGTCCCAACAAGAAATAATTAGGTCCAAGGTTAGCACAACTTAATGACTGTTGATACATAGTTCCAACTTGATTTGCCAAAGGGTGTGTTGGTTTATATTGCATACAGTCTTTTAGCATGGTCTTCGTAGTTTTAGCACAACCTTTGCAGTAGTTGGATAGCGTGATGTTTAAAAATTGTTAATAAGTGAAAAAAATTGCTAGTAAATGAAAGTGGCATGAAACTGTTAAATCTCCATTTCTTTTTATTATTTAATGTGATTTGTTAATGGCATAGGTGAGAATTAAGGTTCATTTCTTACATTTAATTTGGAAAGTTAGTGGGCTTAATTAAAAATGTAAACGATGTTAAAAAAATACTTGACATCTGATGTTATTATATTTGAATCTTTTCCTGACAGCTTGCCGATGTTCACCGTGCTCCGGAAATTTACCATTCCACTCACTTTACTCCTGGAAACCACCATACTTGGGTGAGTTTTGTTTTTCCTCTTTCCCCTTTGTGTCCTTTCCAAACCTCACCCCACATTATTTTTGCATAGCAAATTCTCAACATCTAGTTATTTTTCCAAATAGTTGATTTGAATTGCTAGTAGCAATAACTTAGGGGCCCATGGTTTATTCACTTAAAAGCAACTCCTGTTTCCATGATTCCTTAAGCACATAATGGGTGATTTTTTTTACCTGTAATTTTATAGTAGACTAATAATACATGTTTATGATAGAAAATTATTTAAAAAATGCAACAGCCTCAAAACAGATGTAAATATGTTTCCTGAACTGGATGGAATAGACACTGATTTTGGAATACAGAGGAAAAATTGTCCATGTATACATACAGGATAGAAATTCAGGAAATCACAGAAATCCATTCTGATAACAGTGATTATGATGTAACATAGGAATAAATTAATTTTTATAATGGTTTAAAAATCTCTCATAAAGGTACTCAGGCTGATACCAAAAAAGTTGATTCTTAGTTTTGTTGGGAAGATTATTTAGCAATAAAATTTGGATGATGGCCCAGTGTTCTAAGTCCTACTGTTCAATTTTATCCTAATCTTTGGATGCTTGATGTAAGACCAACTAGAGCTGCCAACAGGGGCTCTTTTGCATTTTGTGACAGCATCTTTGCAATGAGAACAGAGGAACACATTTATAATCAGATTAGACAGCTGCTTAAGAAATACATCTGGTCTAATTTATTAATCCACTTACAGATGCTTACAGCGCTTTCTCTATGTAAAGCGATGTCCATTAGATTTTAGCTATAAAACTGTGAACAGTGTCTATTTTCAGTTTAAGAATTATAATCCATGTTTTTTCCTCTCTTCCTCCTTTCCTTTACCATCCATCCATCCATCCATCATTTATTACAGGAAACAGTATTCCTTGAACATCATCGTCAGTGTTTTTACCATCATACTTGGGGCTTTCATAGCAGCTGGGTAAGACTTTGGACTTTTTCTGCTCAAAAACTTCTTTGTGCCTTTGACAATAGGCCCAGCCCCGCCTCATTTTCCATTTTCCATCTGGCTGCAGTTGAATTGAGCAGCCAAGAGACAAGTGTGTGGATGTTAGTGGGTTCCCCATGTGTTCCTGTGAAAGTCAAACTGGGTTCCAGCTTGGCCAGAACATTTCTGAGAACGTATAAAGGGAATGTTAGAAGATATGAATACAGCTTTTCATCATAAAAAGGAGTAAACTATTTGCTATTATTACTGAATGTCTTCAATACAAAAAATTTACTTGAAAAGTTCTTGGGCATTTGGTCAAGAATAACAACTTTATAAAGCCTTGTATGCTGACTTGTTTTATCACCTGTGATGCCTTAGCAGTCTGTTTCCAAGGGTGGCATACTCTCATTAAATGTATTTGTATATTTGGGACATGAGCCAATACCAGTGCATGACTAAGTTGACCCTTAAACAACACAGGGATTAAGGGCACCAACGCCCCCCTCCCCTGCCCCCACATAGTAGAAAATCTGAGTATAACTTTCAACTCCCTAAAAACTTCACTACTAATAGCCTATTGTTGACCAGAAGCCTTACTGATAACATAAATAGTTGCTTAACACATATTTTATATGCCATATGTATTATATACTGTATTCCTAAAATAAAGCAAGCTAGGGATAAGTGTTAAGAAAATCATAAGGAAGAGAAAATACATTTACACTATTGTACTGTATTTAGTGAAAGAAATCCACAGATAAATGGACCAGCACAGTTCAAACCTGTGTTGTTCCGGTGTATTATTCATTAATATGCAAGGCCAGGAATGTGGACTCCCAAGTTTGCAGTTGAAAGCAGACAGTCAGACTCCTGGCTTTTATAGCCTAGTGGTTAAAGCATGTGTGCGGTCTTATTCTGTGGGTCCAGAACTTAGCCCGGCCCCTGTCAGCTGTTTCTCAGCCTCTCTGTGCCTCAGTTTTACTCATCTGTAAAGTAAAGAATGTAATAGAAAAGCAAAGCCTACCTGTATGAAGGGAAGAATGCAAAGATTGGATGAATTTCAGTTAAACTAGTTTCCTTAACTGATTTAGAAATAAGAGTTCTGGGGGTGCCTGGGTGGCTCAGTCAGTTAAGTATCCAACTCTTGATTTCGGCTTAGGTCATGATCTCAGGGTCCTTAGATGGAGCCCGCATCTGGCTCCACGCTCGGCGCGGAGTCTGCTTGTCCCTCTCCCTCCCCCTGTGCTCTCTCTCAAATAAATAAATAAATAAAATCTTAAAAAAAAAGAAGAGTTCTGGATCACTAACTGCAAAGTGAATAAGGATATGGATCTTCTCTTCTTCTAGTCTCCTCACTTACTAGCTGTATAACCAGGACAAGCTATTTAACTTCCCTGCCCCCCAGTTATTTCAACTCTAAAATGGAGATTAGAATAGACCCAGCTAATAGGGTCTTTGTGTGAATTAAAGGGGATAACAATAAACTGGGGTTTACACTAGGAAATGGCCAAGGCCAACAAAAACATGTTGAGTGTTTACTGCCAGGTGTCGTCCTAGGTGCAGGGGGATCCAGCACCTAACAAAACCGACAAGAATCCCTGCTTTCACGAAGCTCCCGTTCTAGTTGCTGGAGACAGACAATAAGCAAAAGAAAAAGATTAGAAAATACAGCATCCCAGATGGTGACAGATATTAACAATCTATTTATTTTATTGTGTGATAAATGAGTTCATCCCTTGCCTAGAGCACGGTTTGTTATTTAAGTTTTCCTCGGTAAGGTCCTCGGTCCTGGCCACGGCTGGGTGGGGCCCCGTTGTGCGCTGGCCCCTGGTTTGCGGAGCCAGTGAGGACATGAAGCAGCAGTACTTAGAGCCTGTTGTAATCATGAAGATTTTGTTCCAAGAAAGTCATAGGAGCAAAGTAGCTAAAAGAGGGAGGTGCTCTGTTGAAAGTGCCCTCCTGCCACAGTGCTTTGGGGCATTCCCTGGGCAGCCTCTCTTTTCTGAGTTTCTTAGAGCTCAATTTGGAAACTGCTGACTTTGAGGCAGTTGTACACTTCTACAAAAAAAACGTTTATAAAAATGTCTGCAAGGCTGTGGCGAGGAATGGCGCTTCAGATGCTGTGTCTGTGGAGGTGTATTTCCAGACCCAGTGAGTAGAAATTCGGCTCATAGTTACCACATATGATATTCTAATGAGCTGAAAGGGTAAATAGTGTTTTCCGAGCATCTCACTTTCCCCCAGGAGCTGGCTTGGAACAGTACTTCTAGATTTTTCCCTTCCTCAGGGCCCAGAGAATGGATACTCTCTAGGTGGGTGATAAGCACCCTTCTTCACTGCAGACCAGCCACGACCCCACCCTTCTCGCCTCTCATTTAGATCTTCTCAACCAATTGCCAATAACTGTAGGGCTGATTCAGTCAGATGGGCCAGGTTATGCTGCTGTAACAGTTCCCACATTTACACATCAAGTATATTCTGCTCATGCTGCATACTCAGACCAACGTTAGTTAACGCCCTGGGGGTGCTCTGCTCTTTGTAGCTACTCAGGGACCGAGGCAGATGGAACCCCTGCCTCAAAAGGGACTCCCTTCCTCATCCAGGAGGGAAGAGGGCATGTGGGGAATCGTGTGTTGGCTTTTCATGCCATGTGTTACCTCCTCTTACATTTCACTTGCCAAACAAGTCACATGGCCAGAAAAGTAGAACTATTATGTCTGTAAACAGCCCTAAATGACAGCGACAAGGGTTAACCATGAATCTGCTCTCATGTATTAAAGCAAGCAAATTCTTTTCAGATTTCTGTGCTTTTCCCAGTGGCCTGAACGAGTGGTGCTGGGGACTTGTAGCCCTGGGAGCAGGAGACCTGAGAATTCTGGGAATTTCCCTCAGGCTCTCCGAGGAAGTGAGTGACACCTTTCCACTCCCCTAGAAGCCTGGGTTTTTTATCCATTCAGCTCTTTGCCATTTTATGGAACAGCAGACTCTTAACATGGAGCCAATTGTGGGTAGGCATGAGATCTGGAAGACCCTCATTTTGAGAGATTCTATTTTTTTTGTGATTGAACCAGACAGTTCTGATTTATGATGATCTAAAATTAATTTGCATTCTCACAGATATATTTGTAGTTAATAATACCAGCAGAACCCTCGAGTAAATCTGGTTTAGTTTGCATTCAGATTTTGATGGAATTTTTCCCTCCTTATTTCCTTCTCTTTGGTTAGAAATAATCTTTAAAAAATTATTTTTTTTAATATTGCAGGGATCAGGATATGCCACTCCAAAATATGCCACTTTGGCATAAACATTTATTTTGAGCTGAAGGCAATTAGTTGAGAATCAACAGATGTAGGAAGAATTCTCTGTCTTCCTCTTTCCTGGCTAAAAGCAGACCATAAATTTCCCTTTGTAAGGTGGTCCCCCCTACACCCTCCACTCTCACCCCCACACCAGGAATAGGAAAGCAGTTCTTATCACTGGTGATGGAGAATCAGTACCAAGATGAGTCTGCATAAATAAACCTTACTACAATAACCCTTCTCTTCCGTTAGTTTCCCCCATAAATTTCCTAGTCTTTTTTCCACAATTCATTTGTTCCTTGGAATCCAAACCTCTTCTTTTTTAAAATGATATCTGAGCCCCAGAGTCTAACCACTTATTTGAGATTCATTTCTTTTTTGTGAACTCCTTTACATGTAAAATATTTAATAAAAGTTGAATTCCTTTTTTCTCTTGTTAACCTACTGTCAGTCAAATTTGCAGGCTCCAGTCATTAAACCTAAGAGTGTAGAGGAAACCCCTTTGATGCTGTTTTATGCTATTTGATGCTAATTTATGAATTATGACATGGGTCTGCTACTGTCTGTAAGATCAAGTGTGGTAGATGAGTCACATCAGGGCTCAGCTGTTCTCTCTCTCCTCTCTGTGCCGTGTCCCCCTGCACATTTTTATACTAGTCTTATTTATATAAAATTTAAATTGAAGAGAAGATGGTTCAAAAGAATGGGAAGAAAGGAGCCTTGGAGAAGTTGCAGAGGAAGAATCAGTCCCTGCCTTGCTTTTTTGATGGACAGGGTGGGGGCGTGCCGGTGAATGATGTGACCGGCTGGGCACCAGATGGAGGTGTCAGTTCCTCGTTTGGCCCCTCTTGCCCCAGTAACTGCCCAGCTGTCTCCACAGGGCTGTACCCTGGAGATGGCCCTGTTTATTACAATAAGCAAAGCCACTGGGTAGGTTGGACAAATCACTCCCCTTAGAAAAGAAGGGCTCACCAATTATTATGCCAGTTGATTGTTAGCGGAAAAAAAGAAAGGGCTTTGCAGTTCAAGGAAGATGGTTAATGTCCCTCTGGTTTTAAGCCATTCATGATTGAATTGAAGCCACCTGATGGCCTGGTTTTGTTTTTGTCTGGAGGCAGAGCAGAGGAATTAACCAGAGGGGGAAAATATGCCAGAGGAAAAAAAAGGTAGTTCCCAGCATCACAAGTGGCTTTGATTAGGGAAAGATAAAACAGGCGGCTTTGAAGGCCAAGTGGTGTGAGTTTCTGAATCATCGTCCTCCCTTTTGTGTTCTTCCAGTTCTGACCTTGCCTTTAACTTGGAAGGCTATGTTTTTGTATTCCTGAATGATATCTTCACAGCAGCAAATGGAGTTTATACCAAACAGAAAATGGACCCAAAGGTACCAGATCTTCACTTCTATGGTTTTTAGGCTTTGTCATCTGGCCCCTGAAATTGCGTGAAAAAAAAAAAAAAAAGGATTTGTAAAATTGGCATGTAATTTAATTTACATGGCATGCTGTATAAATCACTAATTTCTTTTCAGTTTTCTTGTCTTTATGGGTTCTTGTTACCCCTGACCTTGCAAAGTTTTGGATGAAAATAAGACAGGGAGGGAAAAGAAACCACTGTTTTTGACGCAGAGTCAGAATATATAAAGAGGAGATTATTTTGAAAGGCAAATAAAAATTAAAAGAAGGTTTTTGCCATCCTCCTCAGTGGCCAAGGCAAAGTCAGGGGTATTCTGAAGCAACTGCAGTTTGAGCGTCTGAAGGCGTGGGTTACAGAAAGAAGCTTTGCTGCTCACTGGTCACTGTGACTTGGGACCCTTAACTTCTGCAGACCTCAGACTCCTCATCTGTGGAATGGCTCATGTGTAAGGTCCTGGCCAGCAATAAGTACCTGCCCTGATCAGTGATTGAGCAGCGCCCCCCCCCCCCCGCCTCCCGAGAGACTGGTGACCCCCCTGTCAAGGCCTCTCGCCCCAGCTGTTCCGGAAGCTCCGGAGGATGAGCCAGGCATATGTTGCTTTGTTCCAAGTTCTTTGTGTTGAGTGAGGGAGTTTGCTCTGATGGGCAGACTTATTTCTATGAGCTGTTTTTTCTGCATGGCCCTTTGTTTTTTACTGGTGGCAGTTTTACTAAAACAGGTTTGTTGCCTTTTGAGGGTCCCAATATGTCACCCTTTATGAAAAATGGTGAAGTGGTGTAGCCACTTTAATGAAAAGTAAATGTATGCAAGATTAGAAAACGAGATACCTGGTATTTTATTTTAACACCGCTGCTCCTTAACAGAAAGAGCAGATGTTTTTAAGGAGTTCTGTTTATATTAACATTTTAAATGTTCTTCATTCTGTTCCAGATTTTCCCATTCTGAATACAATACTTAAAAAAACAAACGAACAACCAATTGGAATGGTAGAGATGGGTGGGACCTGGGAGGCCCTCCATGTTCATCCATTTTATCTGCCATTTTTGTGTAAAACAAATGTTTATTTTGCTATCGTGATGTACTTGAAGTAAAGCCTTCTACATTAGGAATTTGCTAAAAAAAAATAAAGGAATTTGCTGAAAATATTCCAACACAGAGTTGGTCAGAATAATTTTTAACTGCATAAATACATAGTTGTATAAATGGCTCCAGGAAATCTGATGCTTCATATTTCTAACATTGAGTGTTTTCTTTGTTTTTGTAGGAGTTGGGTAAATATGGAGTGCTTTTCTACAATGCCTGCTTCATGATTATACCAACTCTTATTATTAGTGTCTCTACTGGAGACCTTCAGCAGGTGAGCTGAGGATGGTCATTACATTCCTATGTAGCAGTCTCTTAATAGTTAACTTCTGGTACTCACTACAGTGAAAAGTATAACGGTAACTAGGATTCTCAGGAGGGTACATGAAAGCGAGATCTGTGATATCGCCAGTAACATCTTTGGCACAATCCTTTCTTTGGTATTTATCTTCAGACACATGGGAAGCAGCAGGAAGTAGTCACAAGAACTCTGGACTTGAAGCTTTTTTTTTTTTAAACTGGCAGTAAAAATCTGAGTTTGAGTCTTAATATCCCTATTTACTGATGTGGGGATCCTGGGAAAACTAACTTAGAAGGGGATTTTGATAGTTTTAAAAATGGATTTAGTTATCTACTGCCTTTGTAATGGACATCTTGAAACATAGGCAAAGTAGAGAGAATAATTTAATGAACGTCACGTACCTACCACCCTGTGCCAACACTTTTTGGCATTTTGCCATTCTTATTTCATCTATTCCCATCTGCTTTCATTTTTTTTTTTCTCCTGGAATATTTTAAAGCAAATTCCAGCAGTCATGGCATTTTGCATCTAAATATTCTGGGATGTACGTTTGAATTTTGAGAATGTGTTTGCCCTGCTTACCTGTTCACTGCACACACATGAGAGACAAATAAAATAGTAGGAACAGAGGAGGCCCAGCTGGAGGGAGTGAAAGCCAGTCTCAGGAAGGGTGAAGATTTGCCCTGTAGCACCCACAGTGGCCGTCTTGAAGCATACCGGCCCCTGCCACGCTCTACTTTTGCAGGAAGTTTCTAGCCATACCACTTCTAAGAATTTTGCCTATATCTTAAGGGAGGTGCTTAAGTTCATGTGAGAAAATTTGCTGGGCAAAAATTACAGTCCAGCCTGGCCTCTGCCCACAGAACCAAGTCCCAGACATTAACTCTCTTGTTACCAGACCTGGGGTGGGGGTTCAGAGGGGCCCTATGCAGTAGCCATTCACCCACCATGTGACAGTATTGCTGTATTTACTAACCAGCATGCTTCTGTGGTGTACACAGGTTGAGTGGATCCCATTTGTAGCCTTTGAAGGCTGCGGGCTCTTGTGGGCTCCTAGGGTGGATGTCAGGGCTTCTCGTTCTTTCTTAAAGCTATACTTTCTCATTTGTACAATTCCTTTCCAAAAGAGGAGACAGCAGAAGAGCTTAGCAGCAATGTTATGAATGGCATGGTAACCAGAAACTGAATTTTAGGTATCTTATGAATTAAATCCACTAGATGTATCACGTTAATAATTTTATAACATTGTTTCAATAGGAATGTTTGTTCCCACATCCAAACCATTGCTTTATAAACTTGTAACATGTGCTCTCAGAAGTTTCACCTGCTTGTGGGGCACCTGGGTGGCTTGTGGGAGCATCTGATTCTTGTTTTTGGCTCAAGTTAGTATCTCATGGGTCGTGGGATGGGGCCCCATAAGGGGCTCTGCACTCAGTGGGAGACAGTCCACTTCAAGGTTCTCTCCTTCTGTCCCTCCCCCGACTCTGTCTCTCAAGTAAATAAGTCTAAAAAAAAGTTTCACCTGCTTGTAATGCTTAGCCTCACAGAATTATTATACTTTCTCAGTTAATAATAAAAATAATAGCTAATATTTATTGAGGACTTATTCTATCAGATTTGTTCAAAGCATTGTACATGAACTATTTCACTGCTTTCCACAACAGGCCTCTGAGGAGAGGGTACTGCTATTATCATCTTTTATTTTTTATTTTTATTTTTTTAAATGTTTTATTTATTTATTCATGAGAGTCAGAGAGAGAGAGAGAGAGAGAGAGAGGCAGAGGGAGAAGCAGGCTCCCTGCCTAGCAGGGAGCCCGCTCAATCCCAGGACCCCGGGATCATGACCTGAGCCGAAGGCAGACGCTTAACCATCTGAGCCACCCAGGTGCCCCTCATCACCTTTTAGACAAGGAATCTAGAGCACAGTGTTTAAATAGCTTCCGGGGAGAGCCCGTGAGCCATCCGGGCAGTCTGACTCTGGAACACATCTTCCACTGGAATCCCAGTTACTTTATTGTATGTGAAAAGGGTTTCTTTCCTTCATGCATGAAAAACCATAACCTGGCACTTATATCTTAGTACAAGAGGCTGAACATATATTTTAACTTATTAAATAGTAGTGTTCTAGGAGAGTACTGTGCTCCTGTTTTGGCTTTTGGTGCTGAGCTACCTCAGTATTTACCGTCTATAGCCTCTTCTGTTGCCTAGGCTCCTAAGATTTCAAACAGAAGTTCCTGTAGGCACCTTAGAGGCCCAGATGTGGTCATTATTCACTGGAATTCCAGATGGATCAGAACTAAATATACAGATTTATTTAAAAATCTATATGAAAATTATAATTTAGAAAAAAATAGAATGTGTTTATAACTGTAAGAAAGGCCTTCTATAGGGGTGCCTGGGTGGCTCAGTCATTAAGCATCTGCCTTCAGCTCAGGTCATGATCCCAGGGTCCTGGGATCGAGCCCTGCGTCGGGCTCCCTGCTCAGCGGGAAGCCTGCTTCTCCCTCACCCACTCCCCCTGCTTGTGTTCCCTCTCTCACTGTGTGTCTCTGTCAAATAAATAAATAAAATCTTAAAAAAAAAAAAGACCTTCTATAAAAATGACAAAATACAGTCATGAAACTAAAACTTTGACTCTATTTTAATTTAAAAGTATCATATGATAAGAGATGCCAAAAGATATGGGATACTTTCTGTAATCAGTCATTTTTAAAACCTGTAGAAAAAATGGTGATATTTTTCACTAGTAAGATTGTTCTGCTCTGTTCCATTGAACCATAGCAAGCTTCTTCCAATGGTTACTTTTAACTATGGTTGAATCCATTTTAGATTGTGAACCAAATACAATAAAGAAGAGAACTTATGTAATTAGGTCTGTTAGTCTAGAAAATTGTGTTTTATTTGCAGTTTGGTGTGATTGTACCAAAAGTTGATTGATGAATTAGGGTGAAATGTTAACTTATTAATGGAAGTACTTTGCTGAGTCATTTTTCCTGGTTGACTGGAGAGGTTCGGAGGTTGTGGTAAGACTCGTGTGTATGACTCACCACACTGGAGGTCACTCCTGGACCTTGGACTTAACACAGTCAACAAATCTGATAACAGCATCTTGATTCTGCCTCTGATTAGCAAAGTCAGCAATGCCAGCTCCTCTGGTCAACAATTTAGGCCCCTGGAAAATACTGATTGGGTGACCTTTCTTTAGTCATTCGAATTGCTGCAATAGGTTCAGAGTACATGGTTTATTACAGCTGATGAATAGGGAGAAGTAATAGGACTTATTTTTCTGATAAAAAAGCCACATAAATGCAAAACAAAAAAGATTCACATTCTATCATACTTTTACAACAATAGCAAGTCTAAAGGAAGCAGTACTTTATTGTTATTCATCTTTAATTAATTTATTTTTTTTTAAATATTTATTTACTTGAGAGAGAGAGCGTGTGCACAAGACAGAGAGCATGAGCAGGGGGCAGAGGGAGAGGGAGAAGCAGACTCCCCGCTGAGCAGGGAACTCGATGGGGGCTCGATCCCAGGACCCCGATATCATGACCTGAGCCAAAGTCAGATGCTTAACTGACTGAGCCACCCAGGCGCCCCCTCTGTTTTAAAATAAATGTCATACTACATTATTTGTTAAAATGTCAGCAGCACAGTCTCATCATTATTAAAGGAACAAAACAAAACTAAAATCTATTAAAATTTAGAGTGGCAAAGAATCCAAATATTTTTATGAACATTACTATATAGCCCTCAGTGGTTTATATGGCATCAGGAATATATAGTTTTTATTTACTGTTTGCAGAAATACTTCCAGCTTGTTGAATCAGTAAATATTTTTCTACCCTTGGTTTGAAGTTTGGAGCATATGGTTTTTTCTTATTGCCAGTTTTATTTTAATTTTAGATAATAGAGTGTTTTCTATGTCTTATGTTTGGTTTTGGTCTTTGCCTTGGATATTTTCTGCCCCTATGATTGGCTTAGGCTTGCCAGTAAGACAGATTCATATTTATTATTTTTCTTTCACAAGTAGGCATTTAAAGAAAAGCATTTTATGATGGAAACTTTCAAACCTATACAGAAGGAGAACAAGTAGTATAACAAACCCCATGGACCCATCAGCCAGGTTCAACAATAGTCAACATTGATTGTGTCTCTTTTTGATAAGAGAGAGTAGGCCAAGTCTCACTAATGAAACAATGACAAGCATGGCAAGGATGTATTAATTGGAGGAGAATTCCATTCTAATTGGCCTACAATTTTTGAATTATAAACTTGACAAAGATTTAAATAGTTTTAAATCTATAAAGTTACTAAAACTTGACTAACAAAGTTTTGCCTAGGAGAAAGTGAATAGAACTTATATTTAATTATGTTATTCAGCACATACTTAATATAGTCTTGAGTCACCTTAAAATCATTTTTGGATGCAGGCAAAGGACAAATCATGAATAAAATGCTTTTTATTGTTACCTGTCATTTCAAGAGGGTTAATTTCATTTTCTCAGCTAAGAGACTAAGACTAAGGTCTTGGAGAGTTGAAACTCTCTCATAAACTTCTCTGTCCCAGCTCCTCCACCCCGATTACTTGCTTGCTTTGTAAGTAGCAAATAATAGTTTATTTGTTCATAATACTTACTAAGCATTTGTAAATTCTTTTTTTTTAAAGATTTTCTTTCTTTTTTTTTTTTTTTTAAAGATTTTATTTCTTTAGAGAGAGAGTGCATGCCAGCAAGCAGGGGGAGGAACAGTGAGGGAGGGAGAGAATCTCAAGTAGACTCTGTGCTGAGCACAGAACCCAAGGTCGGGCTCCATCCCATGACCTTGAGATCATGACCTGAGCCAAAACCAAGAGTCAGACGCTTAACTGACTGAGCCACCCAGGCGCCCCAAGCATTTGTAAATTCTTGAAAACAGTTCACAGACTTCATTTTCTGAACTTCCCAACATTATTAACTTTATGATAAGCTTTCTTCTAAGATTATTTATACAAAAAGTAAACCCAACCATGATTTTGCAACTACAGAAACTATCGCTATGTTTTGTGCTTGCCACCTGCCATCTTCCAAACAATTTCATTAAATCCTCACGTTGACCTTTTGAGGAAGTTTAAAAAAAAGATCCCTCTTTTGTAAAATGAATCTGAGATCCAGGGAGTAAAAGTAATATGCCCAACCTCACAAGCTGGTATTGCCTAGGATTTTTTAAGTTGTATTTTCTGTTTGCGAAAGTGTTTCCTGTACTAAAACACACAATTTGGTAAAAGCCATAGGTTTAAACTGCAATATTATTAGTCTAACCATTGTTTTCTTTCTTTTTCATAATAGGCTACTGAATTCAATGAGTGGAAGAATGTTCTATTTATAATACAGTTTCTTCTTTCCTGTTTTCTGGGGTAAGAAACCATCCATAAGTAGAAGCTTGATCTATGATATGTCTTGACAAATCAAATCAAAATATACATTCTGTCTGCTCTGTCAAAATCCCTTTGTCTGTGCTTCTCCAGCTTTTTCTGGAAAGTAGCCCTGCAGCAGAGGAGTGGAGTGGGACCCAGGATCCCTGGGAACACAGCCTAAAAGACCAGAAGCAAGCATGAAGCAGTTTTATTTTTGAAAGTCATGCCGATGTTAACGTTCTACTCCAAAATATGATGTTGCTTATTGATTTTGGAAAGTTAGTCTGAATGACATCAGCTGATGTATCAAATTTAGTACTGTTTGTTGTCTTGGGCACAATGTCCCAAGTTTTTCAAGATCTTCCACCTCACATAAATACGTGGAAATGATAACCATTTACGCTAGTGTTGTACCTGCTATATTCAGGGAGATTTTTGAGGTGAGATGTCCAGGCCATTGTATTGTCCCAACAATTTTAGACTTTTGTTCTTAAAATTTTCCTTGTGTCTGTCTTCCTGTTGAAAAGCCATGCAGCTTATGTCTTTTTTTTTTAATCTTCTAAAAGCTTGAAAATTCCTTTTCATGAATAGATAATACATGCAACTGGTAAATAATCCAGGGGCTGCAACAGAATACACAGGGAACATAAGCTCCCCTCCCTTCTTCCCTACTGTCCAGCACTGCAGTTTTCCTCTCCAGAGGTAACCACGGTTTGACAAGTCCTTGGAGTATCCTCCCTGAGCTGGGCTCCCTGCATATACAAACACCCGTGTCTTATCTCATGTGGAAAGGTGCTTTGAATGACTGTCTCAGGGAATTAGTTATCAAAAGACTTTTCCTGTGAAGAAAGATGGATTTCCTCATTTTTTTTTTACTACCAATACTGTAATTTTCATTATGTTTAAATGAACTAAGAGCAACTCACAGTCTCCTTGATCAACACTTAAAAATTCTCAAACTTGATTTTAATTGCAGTGATTAGTCACCTATAATAAAAACATTTATGTACATCTTCCATTTTGCTAATTCCCTCTTTAGCTGTGTCTGATTTGATGTTTAATCTGTTGATGGACTTTTTAATTTTTTTTTTTTTTTTTTTTTGGAGAGAGAGTGCATGAGTGGTGGGTGCTGGGGGCACAGAGGGAGAGGGAGAGAGAGAATCTTAAGCAGGCTCCATGCTGAGTGTTGATCCTGACATGAGGCTTGATCTCACTACCTTGAGATCATGACCTGAGCTGAAATCAAGAGTCAGATGCTTAACTGACTGAGCCACCCAGGTGCCCCAGGGCTTTTTGATTTTAACAATTTTATATTTTACTTGTAAAAGTTTCACAGTTTTTTTGTTTTCAAACTTACTGTTCATTCCTAGTATCCTCTCATTGGTGATCTTTGTGATTGTAGTAACTTTCATTTCTTTAAATGCACATAGCTATTCTGTATTCTGTATCTAGTGATTTCAATATCTGAAGTATTTAAGAATCTAAATGTGTATGTAGTTTGTGACTGTCAAACTGTGTGTAGTTGGTGACTTGTGGTTGTGAGCATATTGCTTAATCTAAGTGCTGTGGGCTGATTGCCAGTTCTCAAATTGCAAATCTGAGAAACCTTTCTGTAGGGACAGATTGTTTTTGCTCCTGCTGGTAGCCAGGTATTGCCCTCGACCTGGACTACTACAGGCATTTTCACGGGTCTAGGCTCAGTGGGCTAAAGTGTCCCTCCCAACCTGGGGTTTGGCTCAAGGCTCAGTTTCTAGACAGTGCTCTTCTGCTAAGGTCTCTACCCTTAGGCACCCGTGTTCTCTTCCAACTGTCCTGCTGCTCTGACTCCCGCCTGGTCCTAATTCTTTCACTCTGTTTCCAGGGCCTCCTTTTTTAAAGGAGGAGAGTTTGGGCGACCTCTTGTGCCCCTTTCAAGACCAACAATCTCTCAAGTAGTGTGTACTTTCCTGGCACAGGAAGGTCCCGTAGGGCCCTTAGGCAGCCATCGTCAGAAGCTTAAGTGAAATATTTGTAGTTTTCTCAGTTGTTGTCACGCATTTTACTTTGAAAAAAATCTAAGCTGTGTTTGTGAGTCACCCTTTGTCAAACCATCTTTTCTTTTCTCTTTGATTAAAAAAAAATTCAATCCATATCACACAAACTCAGACTAGCACCTTTCTCTGACGAAGCCCAGACTCACCTATGGACAACAGAGCCAAGTTTCAAAGTCTCTTCTCATTTCACTGTAAACTTGATGAGATACTGTTTCTATTTTTGTTTGCTTGTTTGTTTTACTTGCACTATCCTGCTTAATCACTCCTTAAAGGAAATCAAGAACTAAACCCTGTGAAGTCTCTGTCAGGATGATGTGGTGGGTGGGGCCTACATGGGAGCCTCCACTCTCTGGGAGGCTTGACCCCATCTGTATATAATTCCATACATTTTTTTCCCCACCACTTAATAATGGGCTTCTTAGAAAACACTCTTGATAAAAGTTCTTAATATGTCATCAGTAGTCCCTTTGCAAATGAAAATGCCATAAAGGCATAGCAATTATAAATAAATCAGTAAAAAAATGATAGAATCTTTAAGATTTCAGGTTTTATCCAAATTTAAAGATGAAAATTATGTAGGTCTGTTTGTAAAGTGGGTCTTTGAGGACACTAAAATCATGGCACCCTTCCAACAGCTAGGTGTCTGAACTCTGGAATCAGATGGCCTGGATTTGAATCCTGGCTCTGCCACTTATTAGCTCTGGGTCCTTGGACAAGTTAGCTAACCATTCTGAGCCTCAATGTCCTTATTTTTAAAATGGGATCTTTAACGATGAAATAAAGTATCTGATTCATAGGATGGGGTTATATGGATTGAATGAGCTAATAGTGGTGAGCACTTAGTGCATGCTGGACACACGGCAAATGCTCAGTAATGTTAAGTGTGGTTGTTATTGTTAATATTTCTATTTCTTGAGGTCCATGTGTTTTGGGCTCACCTCCTTTCACCCCAGACAGAATTGGTACTACAAATAGTCCATGGCTTCAACCATTTTTCTTGTATAACATATATAGTTGACTCTTGAACAACACATGTTTGAACTGTGTGGGTCCATTTATGTGTGGATTTTTTTAAAAAAATACAGGTCTGTAAGTGCATTTTCTCTTATGATTTTCTCAATAACATTTTCTTGTCTCTAGCTTACTTTATTATTAGAATATAGTATATAGGGGCGCCTGGGTGGCTCAGTTGGTTAAGCGACTGCCTTCGGCTCAGGTCATGATCCTGGAGTCCCGGGATCGAGTCCCACATCGGGCTCCCTGCTCAGCAGGGAGTCTGCTTCTCCCTCTGACCCTCTTCCCTCTCATGCTCTCTGTCTCTCATTCTCTCTCTCTCAAATAAATAAAAATCTTTAAAAAAAAAAAAAGAATATAGTATATAATGCATATAATATACAAAATATGTGTTAATTACCTGTCTATGTTCTCAGTAAGGCTTCTGGTCTACAGTAGGCTATCAGCAGTTAAGTTTTTGGGAAATCAAAAGTTCTCTCTGGATTTTTGACTGGGCAGGGGTTTGGCACCCCTAGCCCCTATGTCAAAGGGTCAACTGTACTTTACCTTCAGTGGTCATATCTGAATCCTGAAACTGCTCTGGAAGGAAGCTTCAATTTCGGCAGGGTGGCTTTTTCAGAATCCTTTCTTGAAGTTTCTCACTCAAAGGATTGGGTCATTTATTTCTTCATAGTAAGAGAAGCCATTGTAAGCTTCTGAGCACATTCTCAGTTTTCAGAACAACTGGTATGGGGCTCGTCTGTCCCTTTGGTCCTTGCTCAAGGAATGACTCAGGGCTCACACATATGCATCCCAACCCTTGATTCCAGAGGACTCTGATGCTCAGCTTCTTATTTACTTTGACTCTTTCAAGTTTGCATTTCAAACTTGCGTTTTCTAACCACCAGACCCCTGTCCCATGCTAAGTATATAACTACAAAATTTTAACGCTTTAAAAATGTATGTTAAGTGAATGGATTGGTGAAAGGGCAGGCTTTTAATTTTCTTTTGAGTTAGGGTGGACTCAGCTTTCAGGAATGCTATTTGTAATCAGGAGTTTGTAAATAAAGCATATGATGAGTTTAATTATGTCAGGAAGGTAGACTGGATTGTGGAAGCTAAGATAATGTAATGCAGGCAAAAGCAAAATATAGACTGAAATTTAAGTTGACAGACTAGATTTTAAACAGCTGGGGCACCTGGGTGGCTCAGTCAGTTAAGTGGCTCTTGATTTCTGCTCAGGTCATGATCTCAGGGTCACGAGATCAATCCCTGCAGGGCTCAGTGCTCAGCGGGGAGTCTGAGGATTCTTTCCCTCTGTCCCTCCCTCCACTTGTACACACACGCGCACACACACACGCTCTCTCTCTCTCAAATAAATAAATCTTTAAAAAAGTAAAATAAAAACCTTGCTTTGCAGGTATTTTTAATCTTGCTGAAAAATTACGGGCTCTGGTTCATTCATACCAGCAGCAGGCACCAGCCCTCAGTCTTTGGAGGTGATGATTCTAATCTGTTTCTGCCCCAGTAGCAGACCCTTTGATCCCACTGAAGCAGTAATATATTCCTTAATAAAAACATGAAAGTACCAAATATTTTTTAACCACAGGACAAAAGAATTTCTATTCCTTGAACTTTCACTGATACCGCCGGGATGTAGTGCATGAGAGCAAACAGGATTCTGCGGATATAGCCAGGGCACAGGGGCGACAGGACTTTAAGGAGTGCAGATAGTCCCACATTCCCAATAAACCAAATCTTTTTTTTTTTTTTAAAGATTTCATTTATTTATTCATGAGAGACAGAGAGAGAGAGAGAGAGAGAGGCAGAGGGAGAAGCAGGCTCCCAAGGAGCAGGGAGCCCGATGCGGGACTCGATCCCAGGACCCTGGGATCATGACCCGAGCCGAAGGCAGACGCTTAACCATCTGAGCCACCCAGGCGCCCCCCCCCAATAAACCAAATCTTAATGTAA